CATACATGACTTTCACCACATGAATGCATGCAACTAGAATCCCTCTAGACTCAAGGTGTCTCAACATACCATGCGTAGGTCCATGTTGACCCTACACTTTGTTGGGCGGATTGAGTGTGGAGGCTCGACCAAGAAGGGCAGCAGGCCCTAGTCCTGGTTCAACCCTTATGGCAGTAAATTAGATTTTTGATTTAGCCGACCCTAAATCTCTATGTGGGCTTGGGCCTAACTTGGGGACTAAGCTTTTAAATTTAGTTTAGTCTTCATAAATAGCAATCTCTATACTTGTAATTTTGTGAGCGCCTAATAAAAGATAAACTCTAGTTGCAACCATAGTCACAAAATTCGCTGCTACAGCCGCGTCTTCCGTATTGGGACACGGTGTACCCAATCACAATTCGGTTGCGATACGAACGTCGGTGGGACAGCGTACCAAAATCGCGATCCGGATTGAACTAAGGTTAATGATTTACTCCTACTATCGCCGATTTGCGATTCACATTGCAAGAGAGATCGGGAATAGAGATCGTCCGGATCTGCAGCTGGGAGAGCGATCAACAGAAACAATTTCTGAAATAGAAAGTAAGAAACAGCGCAAATTTCCATGGAAGCAACTGTCTACTTCTACGCTACTGATTTTTTTAAGCATGCTACAGCTTTTATTAAAAAGCACAATAGCTTCTATTTTCTCTTTTGGGTTCAAATTCTTATTGGGCTCAACTTGCTTCTAAATTCTTTTTTGACATATTTTTCCGACTAATTTTTTTTACAGTTATCTGTTGATATTCAGAAATTTTATTTACTTAGTTTTGACTTTTGGTACACCAAACCAAATACATGGTACACCGTACTGCTTCGTACCGAAATGAACCTATCCCCCTTCGTACCTAATTTGTCACCTCTAGCGAATTTTGTACCCGACCCGCGTATCAAAACATACCGCGATTTATGTGACTATGGTTGCAAGCCGTGAAGTAGGTTACTGACCGAACCACGTTAAATCTCATATTCATATTTTCTGCTATTTGTGTGTGTGTTTGTTCGCTTCCGCTTGATCGCCTCTCATATTCCTTACACAGTTGTCTGTCAATCTCCTCAATGGCCACACATGATATCAGACTGATTCTCAAAAGTGCTATAGTCTCTCCTAAATTTACCAACAATAACATGCTCCTTAGCCTACCTTTATAGTGTGACTAAAGGTTTGATGCTTCTGTAAATATCACAACTCTGGATATCAGCATTGCCTTTGTACAACGAAATCATGGCACTCTCCCTCCACTCATCTGCCATCTGAATTGTCCTATAAGTATCATTAAAGAACATAGAAGAGCTTCATTGCCAAAAGTTATGGTTCTCCTGGTTGGAAGAGAATATGCAAAGCTCAATCCATTGGTAGTGATAATATAACCTATGTAAATGGCCAACCTAGGTGGCAAGATGGGAAATTTTCTTAAAATTAGCTTATAAGGTTGTTGCTCATGACCACCCCACTACTCTCACTTATAAATAGACTGGCAGAAAATTCAAGTCCCTAAAGTTCAGCTCCACACTTGGAAGACTCTAAGTAGATGCCTACCTTCCCATGAAAATCTTACGAGGTTAGGCTTTAATCTAACTTAAATGTGTCTTAACCGCAGATTCTCTATTGAAACAACATAACACAGCCTCTTAAACTGTCCTCAAGCCTCAAGAGTATGAAGACACTTTGCTCTGCTGTTTGATATACTAAAGGTCTGATATACTAAAGGAACATTTAATTGAATGGTGAGCTACTGCCAATGAGAGAAACCTGAAAAGCTGCATCATATATACATACCAGGTTTGATTACTTGGGCTATCTGGAAGGAATATAAAGTATCCATTCATTAGGATAAAGAGTTTGGTATCAATAGAACTATCATTGAGGTAAACAAAACAATGCAAGTATGGTATTGGAGAAACTTAAGGAGAAAGAGGACATGAGATCACCTAGAGGTGATGGAACTTGGCCTTGATATGTTAGCTTAATCGTGTTGATGACTGTTGTATCTTTATGTTTGGTGTTGTCCTAGCTATTTTTTTAGCTTAAAAAAATACTGCAATATATATATATATATATATATATATATATATATATATATATATATTACACACACACACTTATGGTATTTCCAAGCAAGGTGTCAGTCAAGGCGACCATCTCTTATGGTATGTTTGGTTAAAGGGAAGTAAGGAGAAGGGAGAGAAGTGGGAAGGAAATAAAAAAACTTTCATTTTTTGGTTGAAGGTTGATATGAAAGGAAATGGAAAGGAATTGAGATGGAAATTGAAATTGAGTTATAAAACAATTCCTCCTACTTTTGGAGTGAAATGGGAGGGAAGTTGAATTCCACTCCATTTCCTTCCAACCAAACAAAGAAGTGGAAGTTAAATTTCCAAACATACCCCTTAGCGCCTAAGCAATGCCTTAATAACTATATGTCCCTCACCTTCCCCTCTCATGCCCTGCACGTCAGAACAATTTCTTATCACATCTTCACTCGCTAAGCCTTTATACATGCATTGAAAGGTTGTTGCCTTAGGCTTTGTAACTTCCAACTTTGACTCTCATCTCTAAATGCCCACTAACCTATCCATCTCTACATTTCAAATGATCATGAACTAAATATGGGAGTGCATGCTTCATGCTTTGGATCGAACACATGCCCCTCTTATAATTATTGTAAATAAAAAGAACTGCACAGCTCCATCACGTGCGAGAAAAAAATGCACTTTATAGAACCCCTTATGTTTTACCAAAAGGACAAGGACATACGGGTGATGTGTAGTTTGCCTTGGAAAAAATGCAATTCAAAGAAGCAACTTATCTCTAAGCAAAAGAACAAGGACATATGGGTAATGTGTAGTTTGCCTAAAGTAATACGAGAAGCATTAAAGCTTTTAGTTTTTTTATCTTATCTTTTCTAAAACAATCAAGTTCTTGACACCACACCTAGCAAATCAAACCATCCCTAATCAAGTTTGAAAATGTGTGTGCACAGTTCATGAACAGAAGATAACTAAGTAACAGAAATGTAAGATAACCACCTTATATCTTCCCGTGTGCCGCTAATCTCCAACTTGAATCTGGCTGCTCTCATACACTCAGCAAATTCTATAGCGAGATCGTGTTGGTCAATCGGCTGAAATGGGGGAGGGGAGGGGGGAACTCTATAAGCACTGATAGGATGAGATTAAAATTAGTACAAAGAAATGACACGAAAAAAAAGAGGAAAATGCTGAGAGGATATGGTTCGATCATGACATAAAGAAATCAGCATTCCTCTTCCATGGGGCAAACAAAAAGAGACAAAGTAGCAAAAATGAATCAAATGTATCAAATAGAGCATGCCTTTGTTCTTTCTGAAAGACGAAACTTGTCAAGAATACCGCCAACTTGATTAAAAATGTGGAGCATCGAACCTGCACCAAGCAACAACTTCTCTCTACACTTATGTGCATTGAGCACCTCATTACAACCCATGCGACAATACAATTTAGTCTTCTCAACAATTGTCCATTGTAACTCTGTCCTGATGCATTGTTCTAAGGGGGGGATGTCATCAACTTCAGATTTATTTAACAGCTTTTCCCAAGCAACCATAAGCAGAACAGCTAGTTCGAGAAGTTTTCCACAGCGTGCCATGGACATACTCGTCATCTGAAGCTCTTCCGTTTTAAAAGCAAGCAATTTTATTGCCTCTAGCGGCTCTCGCTGCAATGACAGTAAAAAAAATTAGAAAACTATTTCCACAATTTTCATCTCAAGTTCAAAACATAAAAAAGGACACCAAATAAATGTATGGTGCGTATTTGTCATTCAACAGACCATTTGGAACAATTTTGTGGAATAAGAATTCATTTGAAGACCCATATTTTTATGTTTGTGGGACATGGCTAAAGAATTGAATATATACTTGTATCCTGTGATAGTTACGAAAAACAAAATAGATCTATAACTCTTAAGACCGAGTTCATGTCACCTTGGCACCTATTGATTCAAGGATGGCATATCTAACCTCTAAGGCGATGTTCTCTTCACCTTATCTCATTGGTTCCGATCTGATCTGAATGTAGTTATATTTAAAGCTATTTCTGATATGATCTGATTCCAATAAGAATAAGTAATAAGTGACAAAAATAAGGTGGGGAGAACATGGCCTAAGTTATTGAATGAGTGTCACTATAGTGTCTATTGTATCCAAAAGTTGCAATCTTGGCTCATGTCTCATCCAAGTAAAATGTGCATATGATTCCTAATTTGATATGGAGTATGTTGTGGAGTACGTTACAACAGCCTAGTGAAATCCCATGAAAGTAGTGTCTAGGAAAGTTGTGTGTATGCATACCTTAACCCCCCTTATTTGACATGGTAATAAAGTAAAAAAAAAAATCTCAAAGAATTGGTTCTCTAACACAACTCCAATCAAAGACAGAAAATTCTCGAGAGTGCAAACAAAAATTGCTTCAACCCTGGAATATGTAATATATCTAAGCACAAATCACAGCTATATGGATGAATTAAACCAGAAGAGGAAGAGATAAAGCGTGTACCAGTTCTGGGAGACAAAGTAAAAAGATCAACTTAAAGATGCACTCGGAAGGAGACCAATCAAGGACAGCTTTGTTGTTGCAGATTGCCGTTTTGAGAGCCACTACTAGTGGGGTGAGTCCAACATCCTCACCCCCATAATCAATACATATCACATCAGGTTTTGCTCCAAGCTCCATAAAGAGATTTATCATTCTAGGTGATAAACTTTGAGCTGCGTAATGCAATGGGTAATATCCATTCTTGGTTGCTACATTAGCATCCTTTACTAGTTTAGTCTTACCTTGGAACAACGCGGTAGCGCATCCCACTGCATCATGTGAAATAATACACCTGATAATTTGGGCTAGGTCAAGTTCACAGTCTATGGTATGACTCTCCTCCTCTAGCGATTTAGAATTAACCAGATCCACAAAGAATTCTACCTTATCACCCTTGATTAGGTCTTCAATATCACTAACCCAAGGGTCAATCACATGTGGCTGCAGCAGTTTTCCAAAATTATTAACATGGATGTTAATCGACTCATTCCTATAAATAAATACACACACACACACACATTCACACACACGCTTTTGAATAAAATAAACAAGACTCATACCCTTGTGTTGCAAAACCACAGTTCTAGTTAAAAATATGAAATATAAAAAATTTCATAAATAATGTGCCCATGAATAGCATTAAATTGTAAGCATCTATCCATGATAAAATTTCAGACACAACAAAGTACGCAATATTTATATATTGCACCAAAGACCCACTAAAACATTCTCATCTGTGTATACTTCTCAAAAGTAGCTCATGACTGCATCATTGTATATATTTACCAAAAAGAAAAAAAATAAACAATGTAATAACAAAAAGATTAGAGTTGACAAGTAAACAGACCACAGACAAAATAGCATAAGAAAATGGATAAAAAGATATGCAATGTGGTCACTTTTTCCATTCAAGAGATCTATAAACCAAGAAATGCAATGCCCGGACTAATAGGCTATGTAATGATATTCAAATAATTTCCTAAAAGCATTTTTTAACCATATAGGTGATGGCTTAATTTCGGAAAAACTGGGAACAAGTTGATGGGTTGATTTCTTTCACGCAAAACTAACATATAGGGTGAACATGTTAGTGGGTCAAATTCTTGCCAGAATCAACAGGTTGGGTAGGCACTTTGGGCTAGGTTGTTGTATCTCAGCTCCGGGTTTTATACTTAAAACCCCTTTATTTGCAGGGAAGGGGAGATAATCAATTGTCCTGGGTGGATAATCGATTGTTAAGGGATTCAGGTTCTTGGGCAGTTTTCTGGGGATGTTCTGGGCGGGGGGATAATCGATTTACAGAAGATGTGAATCGATTATTGAGAAGTGCAGGTTTCTGGAAAAGGCTGATAATCGATTGTCTGAGAGTAATAATCGATTATTGAAGGCTGCAGATGTTACGCAAGGGATAGATAATCGATTTCCAGTAGCAATAATCGATTATTTGACAGTTTTTTTCTGGGCAGGAAGAAGGGTGTTTTTTTGAGGGGGAATGGACTGGAAATATATGGAGATGATGGAGTTCTTTTGGTATTTTTAATATAAGAAAAGAAAGGAGATTAAGGATAGAAATGGTGGGAAAAGGAATGGATAGAAAATAATGATGGATAAACCAAGTTGGTGTTTAAGAGATATTACACACTCTTATCCTAACTTGGGGTTTGAATCTAGAATTTAATTAAGATATGACACACTTAATCAAATATCTAGAACCTAAAACTCACACTTAAGATAACCACTCTTAAGATATAGAGTTAGGAATTTGGCTAAAATAGCATCACACTATTTTATAAATACTCAAAGAGTAAAAGGGAGTTTTAATATTCAGAGATTGATCATTACAAGGGCCAAGTGGCCGAAGTATATAAGGAGGGGGGAGGAGGGAAAACACACAATATAATGAATGCAAATACAAGGAACCTTCCTACATCCCTTTATCATTCTTTAGCTTCCAATCTTGAGTTGATATGGGCTGATTTTGTTTGACTTTGTCTTGGCTTTGAAGCTGGCTTTGTCTGTCCTGTTGTGGAGGCAAAAATCACAAAGAATGAATGAAATCCTTTGATGATTGTGGTGGATATTCTGGCTAAAAAGAGGGGACAAACAAAGATGGGTGATGGATGGTGTATTGGCATTATATTCTTGGTCATATGAGGTGACTGATTTAGTAGGTGGTGTATCAACAACAACTCAAATGTCCCTTGGCTTCTTGTGGTTGTTTATTCGGCCCTAGTAGGGAACATAAAGGGGACAAGGATATCATGGTTTTTGGCTCTTTGTTGATGTTGTGATAATGAGGGATATTTGGCCTGGGATTTATTGAAAGGGAGAGAAGGTTTCATTTGTTTATTAAAAGGTTTAAAAGAAAGAAAATAACAACAAACAAAAGGTTTTGGTTTACACACTCTTATTTTCGGCCAGGGCCTAAAATAGGAGTAGGAAAACTTTATTTTGAGAAGGAAATATTTTGGATATTTAGGGAAGGTATGGAGAGTGTGGGCTCAACCTAGGGTGGACATAGGATAACCATGGTGTTGGGTTGGGTTCTAGGATAGGAAAAAGGAGAAATCTCAACCCAATTAATGTTACCCAACTTGGGCTTTATTCCCCTGATCCGTCTTTCCCTTGGCAGGGTACAGAAAGTCTTCAGGCATGCTCCCGGATATACATCATCCTCCCCTTCTTCGAAGAGAGTTTCCCCTCAAACTCGGCTTTTCTTCACGCTCATCTTCGGGGTTTGGATATGGTCATCTATATTTATCTCTAGAACACCTTGAGGACGTGTTCTCTCTCACACCTATGCCTTTTTGAATGACCTGCAAATTAAGCAAAAAAGTGTTGGCATTAAAAGCCGTTAGTGTTGTTTTGCCCCCGAGGTTTTCCGTTCCAAAGAAGGGGTCGGGTAGGGGGTCTTCAAAAAGGCTCAACGGCTGATTTTGCTCAAGCAAAGGGTCATATTGTAACTCTTTAGATTCGCGGTAGGCAAACATGGCAAGTACAGGTGGGGGCGGTGTTTCGGGCAGCTTGTTGGATGGTATTATTGGGGAAAGAGTGATTCTCCTAGTATTCAAAAAGAATGAATACGAGTTGGTAAAACCATCGTAGGTAACTCTCTGATCAGATAACCAGGGCCTCCCGAGGAGAATATGACAAGCTCTCATGGGTATCACATCACACCATACGTCATCATGAAAGGACTGACCTATGCTAAAGGAAACCAAGCTACGTGTATTCACACGTATCCCTTCGTTAATATTCAACCATTGAATCTCGTAAGGCTTCAGATGTGGCATCTCCTTTAAATTGAGCTTTTCAACTGCTGTTTTGGAAACAACGTTTGCACTACTCCCGCTATCAATGATCATTGAACACACCTTCTTTTGAACGGTGCAACGAGTACGAAAAATACTCTCTCGGTGTGTGGTATCGTCCTGGGCAGACGCATGACTAATGGTCTTTTGAATGAACAAAAGTTCACCTTCATTGGGACCAACAACTTCTTCTTCGCTCGGCTCTCCTTGAACCCAAAATGGATTCAATTCTTCTTCTTAACATTCAACAATAGCCATGATCTTGTTTGGACAGTCACTAGCAAAGTGACCAGCGCCTTGGCAACGAAAACACTTTGGGACTTGGCTACTTGAGGAACTTGATTTTGAAAGAGGAGAAGCATTGGGTGAGGAAATAGGGTGCACAGTTTTAGGATTTTGAGGGGAGGGATCTGTGAGGTTTTGGACAACAAGGGGGTGGAATTGGATGTACTAGGGTAGGAAGAATTGCCACGGCTCAAAGAAGATTTGCCCTTCTTGAGTTGGGCTTCCACCCTAAGTGCTAAGTTGGTTAGCTCTTCAAGGCTCTCAAAGGTTTGCAGCTCCACTGTGTTGGCGATTTGGGTGTTTAGGCCAAAGAGATATCTCACAAAGGTTTGTGAGTCATTCTCTTGGAGATCACACCGCATCAAGAGTTCTTCAAACTCTCGATTGTATTCTTCTACGGGCTGATTTCCTTGCCTTAGGTGTTGAAGCCTAGCAAAGTTTTCCCTTATATAATAAGTGGGAATGAACTTCTTCTTCAATAAAGCCATCATCTTGGTCCATGTTTGAACAGCAGCTTTGCCTTCTCTTTTGCGCTTGGTGGTAGTGTTAGTCCACCACGTAGTGCGTAGCCTCTGAATTTTAAGGCCACAAGCTTGACCTTCTTGTCCTCCGGCACTTCGGTATAGTCAAAGACGCGTTCAATCGTCTCTAACCATTCGATGAAAACATCCGGGTCATCTTTTCCATCAAAGGTTGGCATTTCAACCTTGAAGTCAGAGAGGGACTTCTCTTGGTCGTTTCTCCTCATGGTGGGAGAAGGAACTCCTGATTGAACATCTTCTTCTTGCTCATCTTCGCTTTCCTCTGGAGTTTGGACCATGCTCATTTTCAACTTGGTAAGTTGAGCCACTTGTTTGGCCAAATACTCAACTTGAGCTTTGAGTTCAGCATTGGATGAAACCAAATCTTCCCTAGTAGTGTTTTGGGAAATGTGAGACATGTTTTCGCTGAAATGAGGATGAAGGAAAGGAGAAAGAGTGGAAGTGTGTTCTTGGTCCTTTGGGATATAGGAACAAGAAGCTTTGATACCAAATGTTGTATCTCAGCTCCGGGTTTTATAGTTAAAACCCCTTTATTTGCAGGGAAGGGGATATAATCGATTGTCCTGAGTGGATAATCGATTGTTAAGGGATTCAGGTTCTTAGGGCAGTTTTCTGGGGATGTTCTGGGAGGGGGGATAATCGATTTACAGAAGATGTGAATCGATTATTGAGAAGTGCAGGTTTCTGGAAAAGGCTGATAATCGATTGTCTGAGAGTGATAATCGATTATTGAAGGCTGCAGATGTTAAGCAAGGGATAGATAATCGATTTCCAGTAGCAATAATCGATTATTTGACAGTTTTTTCTGGGCAGGAAGAAGGGTGTTTTTTTGTGGGGGAATGGACTGGAAATATATGGAGATGATGAAGGAGTTCTTTTGGTATTTTTAATATATGAAAAGAAAGGAGATTAAGGATAGAAATGGTGGGAAAAGGAATGGATAGAAAATAATGATGGATAAACCAAGTTGGTGCTTAAGAGATATTACACACTCTTATCCTAACTTGGGGTTTGAATCGAGAATTTAATTAAGATATGACACACTTAATCAAATATCTAGAACCTAAAACTCACACTTAAGATAACCACTCTTAAGATATAGAGTTAGGAATTTGGCTAAAATAGCATCACACTATTTTATAAATACTCAAAGAGTAAAAGGGAGTTTTAATATTCAGAGATTGATCATTACAAGGGCCAAGTGGCCGAAATATATAAGGAGGGGGGAGGAGGGAAAACACACAATATAATGAATGCAAATACAAGGAACCTTCCTACATCCCTTTATCATTCATTAGCTTCCAATCTTGAGTTGATATGGGCTGATTTTGTTTGACTTTGTCTTGGCTTGGAGCTGGCTTTGTGGAGGCAAAAATCACAAAGAATGAATGAAATCCTTTCATGATTGTGGTGGATATTCTGGCTAAATTGAGGGGACAAACAAAGATGGGTGATGGATGGTGTATTGGCATTATATTCTTGGTCATATGAGGTGACTGATTTAGTAGGTGGTGTATCAACAACAACTCAAATGTCCCTTGGCTTTTTGTGGTTGTTTATTCGGCCCTAGTAGGGAACATAAAGGGGACAAGGCTATCATGGTTTTTGGCTCTTTGTTGATGTTGTGATAATGAGGGATATTGGGCCTGGGATTTATTGAAAGGGAGAGAAGGTTTCATTTGTTTATTAAAAGGTTTAGAAGAAAAAAATAACAACAAACAAAAGGTTTTGGTTTACACACTCTTATTTTCGGCCAGGGCCTAAAATAGGAGTAGGAAAACTTTATTTTGAAAAGGAAATATTTTGGATATTTAGGGAAGGTATGGAGAGTGTGGGCTCAGCCTAGGGTGGGTGTAGGATAACCATGGTGTTGGGTTGGGTTGTAGGACAGGAAAAAGGAGAAATCTCAACCCAATTAATGTTACCCAACTTGGGCTTTATTCCCCTGATCCGTCTTTCCCTTGGCAGGGTACAGAAAGTCTTCAGGCATGCTCCCGGATATACATCATCGTGGTACTTTCTTATACTTGGGTGCTTCATATGCCTTGTATCCTTGGTGACTTTTCTTTCCTTGATATATCAAAATGTTATCTTCTAAAGACTTTGTGCGCTTGCATTGATAATTTCAAGAAGCATGAACTATTTAACGAAGCCAAACAATAAAATTACAATACAGAGACTCTTACTTTTGTATAATTGCTTCAAACAAATAAAAAAAATGTCCAAAGTCAATCTAAATACAGCCAGAGTAGAGTATCATTGGACTGAAATTGAATATGCAAATTTAAAAAATAAAAAAATAACTTTATCATGGCTTAAGGTAGAAAATACTCCGTAATATTCATCAATAAGAATAAAAGGTATTACCTCTTTGTCGTTCTTCTTCTGTGTTACCGTATCCGTCCGTATGCTTGGTTCATCATCTGCTCCCATGTGGATATGACGGTGAAGAAGGTCGAGATGAGAGATGGATTGGACTGAAAGGCTAGGGTTGCGATCTGTGTAATTGTGGGGAGCAGCGAGCAGTGGATGACCCATGGGCCTAGTTTGGGAAAAAGTACTAGTTCTGACCGTGCATCATAAGGACAATATTTTGAGTCAGTAAAATAAAATAAAAATAAATTTATAGTATATATAAGGACAATACAACAAAATTGTATTCAATATAAACATCAAAAGTATTACTCCGGGTATATACTAATATTGAGATATGTATAGTGAAGACAACAAAACAAAATTAAAAGTTTTGAAAGACTTCCTTTTACACTATATTTCTAAATCAAGTTAAAATAAATGTTGAACAAAAATAGCGTGCAATAATATAATCAATTAAAATATCAAATCAAGCACAAAGCTTGAGGATGAGATGTGATTTGAAAATAATCCTAGAAAAGTGGTATTTTTTTTAAATGAAAACAGGTCCAAAGCATTCGACATTATCAAAGTTCCATCACACACTTCTCAGTGTAAAGTCATATCATGTTTTTACTATTTCTCATAAACTTTTACACTTCCTATAAGTATTAATTTAAATTATTACACTTTCCCACAAACTTTAAATCTTTCCTAAAAACTTTTATACTTTCTTATAAAGTAGTTATTTAAGTTACACTTTACCATAATCTTTAACTCTTTCCCATAAACTTTTACACATTCTCTTAAAATATTTATTTAAGTTACATTTTTTCATAAACTTTAATTCTTTCCCATAAACTTTTACACTTTCTTATAAAGTATTTATTTAAGTTACACATTTTTCCATAAACTTTAACTCTTTCCCATAAACTTCACTTTCCTATGAAGTATTTATTTAAGTTAAATTTTTACACAAACTTTAACTCTTTCTCAAATATTTTTACATTTTCCCATCAAGTAATGATGTCTTTACATTGGAATACGTTAAAAGAATGGTGCGAAAATAATAGTGACTTTGCATTGGAATACATGAAAAGAGTGGCCAAGCCATCAAATTCCGTCTCTCAATAGGTGTGCCTCTTTAGTACATTAAATGTATTGTACTTTTGGTTTATGACTCAATAAATGTCTCTTTTAGCCTTTATTACTCCACGGGCACCAAAGAATTAAAAGTCTACCTATAACACACATTTCACAAATTGGACCTATTTTTTCTTTACATATTCGGATACCCGAAAATTAATACTCAACCCATTACCCATAACTTTATGTGGAAAAAAGCATTGTTCATCTTTCCCCTTCACCTTTCTACATTAAGAGATTGTATGGTTTTTTAATTTGGTGATTAATCCGAGTTCCCTATCATCAACAAAGCAAGATAATACTACCTCCGTCCCACTATATTCGTCCACTTTTGACTTTTGGAACTGTTCATCTAGGCACTTTGATACATCAAATTCTCTCAATGTGTAAGCCTAACTATAGTCATGTGTGATCTTTTTTGATTTGTTTTAACATATAAATTATTAATATATAATTTCTATAATTTATTAATATACAAATTACAAGATAAAATGGATTAAAGAAGTGTATTGGATGGTATATAAAATGAAAGTGGACAAATACTCTGGGATGGAGGGAGTATATTTAAAGAATAGATTTCAGTTTATTTGTTTGCAATATCCAAATAAAAAATTAATAATTTGTTTGAGTTGCACACCAAGAAAATATTTCAAAAAATTTATTCCTCCACCGTCATTTATTTGTTTCATGAGAGAAAATCGAAGGTCTAAAAATAACTGGAATCATTGGCATTTTTTTAGACAAAGATCACATACCTCATCATCGTGAAACACAACCTCCATTGATTCAACATTTCTTCCAAAAAGATTAACATAGTAGACACATACAACTTGTACATGAATATCAATTTTTTTGTCCCTTTGGATATCATCGAGATTGGTAAATAGATCCTGAAAAATGCGTTAGGGAGCCATATTGAGATGGAAATCTTGAAGAGCTCTAATGGTGGAGAATTGAGAAATACGTAGTAGTTGTGTAAAGAAGGGTTGTTTTTAAATAATAATTTTTTTGTATGGAGTGATGAGAAGATATGATTTCTTTACTTGGAAACACGTGAAAAATATAGTCAAGCCGTCAAAATATGTCTTCCAATAGGATGCTATTAAGTGCATTAAAAGCGTAAAAATTCTTCTCTCCATGTCTTCTTTACACGCACAGATACCCAATAGGCATGTCTCGCAAATGCATTAAATGCATTACATTAAAAGCATAAAATTTCGTCTTCTCATGTGTTCTTTAGATGTTTATATACGCAAGATGAAAAGTGCTTTTTCCCAAAGCATGTGGATACCCGGTCGTAAAATTCATTTCATGAATTGGACCATTTTCTTCTTTACATATTTGGATACCTAAGAATTAATATCCAACTCATTGACCCAACCTGAAGCCCATAACCATAGGTGGGAAAAAACATTGTTCATGTTTTTCCTTCACGTTTGTATATTAAGAGATTTTATCCTTACCCGATTACCCGACCAATTTTGAACATTTTTAGACTCATTACGTCTCGATTGGATATATGTCTGATAAAAGTTGACATTTCTTATATGTGTATAAATGATAAAAACTTCCTAAAATACTACTAAGAAAAAAAATCTCCTTTTTTTAAAACAACATCTTAATTAAATAAAAACAAAAATAAGATTAATTAATATGTTATTGACATGTGACACTATTCATTCAAAGAATCAATTTTCAAATAAATGTTACATTCTTTGATACATACAATTAATGTTTGGATGTGTGTGTGTGTGTGTGTGTGTGTGTGTGTGTGTGTGTGTGTATATATATATATATATATAGTGAATCAGTGATTAGCATATTTAATCAATTATTAGTTAATCAGTATTTATTATTTAATACTGAATACTTCATCTATCTCTGAAATCTTTTTTTAATTTTTTTCATCCGTCTTAAAAAAATTTTTTCATTTCTATTAAAAAGTTGACATTTCTTATATGTCTCGATTGGATATATGTCTGCTAAAAGTTGACATTTCTTATATGTGTATAATTGATAAACACTTCCTAAAATACTACTAAGGAAAAAAATCTCCTTTTTTAAAACAACATCTTAATTAAATAAAAACAAAAATAAGATTAATATGTTATTGACATGTGACACTATTCCTTCAAAGAATCAATTTTCAAATAAATGTTACATTCTTTGATACATACAATTAATGTTTGGATATATATTTATATGTGTGTGTGTGTGTGTGTGTCTATATATATATATATATATATATATATATATATATATATATATATATATATAGTGAATCAGTGATTAGCATATTTAATCAATTATTAGTTAATCAGTATTTACTATTTAATACTGAGTACTTCATCTGTCTCTGAAATCTTTTTTTAATTTTTTTTCATCCGTCCTAAAAAAAAATTTCGTTTCTATTAAAAAGTTACTTTTAACCTACCCATCACATCACATCTGTTCATTGTTAACCTTCCATCAAAACCTACTTTTACACATCACATCTAATGACATTTTTAGAAACCCATAAAAATGAAAATCTCTCATGTTTTCAGATAGGGATGGCAACAGGTCGGGTTCGGGTCGGATAGTACTATACCCGAACCCGACCCGACTTTTAAAACTAAAACCCAAACCCGACCCAAAACCTGACCTTTTAACCCAAAACCCAAAACCCGACCCGAACCCGAAATTTCAACCCGAAACCCGAACCCGACTTTTAACCAATAATCAATTCGACGTACCTCAATAATTTTGAAAAGATTAAAAATAATTTTTTTGTCTCTTTTTTATGCCTCATTTTTTATCAAGGGATCATAAATATGATTATAAAAGGCATACTTAATATAGTAGCACTTTGTCAAGAGATTATACGGAATGCTCATTATATCCATAGATAGACTTTTATGTAATAAAATATTCGGGTTTTAGTCGGGTCAGGTGCAGGTTCGGGTCGGGTAAAATTATAAATCCACACCCGACCTGATGTCGGGTTCGGGTAAAAATTTTTGGTTCGGGTTCAAATTATTTTATCCTCGGTTCGGGTTCGGATATTTTAGTAGTCGGTTGGGTCGGTTAAGCTCGGGTTGGGGTTGAATTGTCATCCCTATTTTTGGAGATGGAGGGAGTAGTTAATAGGGTTTAGAATTTTAGTGTGGGTTTGAGCTTAGTAGGCCAAGTGTAGAGTAACGTTTCCTCTCTCTCTCTCTCTCTCTTTATATATATATATATATATATATATATATATATATATATATATATATATATATATATATATATATCGTATCTTATGAAAATTCATATTTCAAAACAACGTTTTAAAAAAGATTATTAATATTGCATTTATAGATGAACAAAAATTGTTTTTCATATATCGGAGCTTATCTTTATCTTTATATATTAAATTTAAGAGTTAAACTCATATAATTACAATAAGTGGTGAGTCTACATGGGAACATTTTAACAAATCATCCGCCACCTATACGGATTACGAAGTGCCACTATAATTATTTGGGAAAAAAACTAAATAAGATTAGAATATGGAGAAAGTGCCAAAATAGTATTTTTGTAATTCCTCAAATATTGTTTATTCTACTTTGGAATTTTTGTATATAGTATTAAAAATCATAGGGAAATATTATTTCTTTATTCTGGGAAAAAATGTTACATTAAAAAAATTTTAGAACTAATAAAAATTTTGTTCGACCCCGTGCATGGCACGGGTTAGTATACTAGTCTCATACAATGATTGTGGGTTTGGCATCATTGGCAATGATGGTGGTTCTAATGATAAAGATGATGGTGCTAATATTTAGAGTGATGAGCCATCTTACAAGTGAGATTCTACATACTTTATATTTTACGGGCAGTAAATGCTTCAAGCGGTATGGTCATTGAAGAGTTAGACATTCTAGAAAGTGTCGATAAGGTGGAAGATGGAGATTTTATGCATGGGAAAACCCGGTGGTGCTCCGGTGTCCCATTCGTAAAATTGACGGTTTCTACTCCCCGATAAACCCTTCCACCTCGTCCCGACCCAAGCACAAACCCCCACCCCCTTCAATTACACCCCCAAGTTAATTTTGACTTTATAGTTAAAAATATTTGACTCTAAAATCAAAATTAACTTGAGGGTGCAATTGAAGGTGGTGAGGGTGTGTGTTCGGGTCAGGACGAGGTGGGGGATTTACTAATAGGGGTAGAAACCGTCAATTTTACAAACGGTGGGACACTAGAGCACCCCTGGGTCATCTCATAACATTGGCTCTCAATGTCATGAGGACCGGCCCCATTTAATATAAAGATTTGAGAGGGATAATATTAATCTTGTATATTAAACAGTAGAAAATATATCAATAATATTTTAAAGAAAATTTTATAAAAATTTTCTACACCCAAAATTAAATTTAAAACTCAAAATAATTCTCTGTTGCACTTCACTTGGCCGAAAATATCATGGAGTGAGTGAGTGTGAGAATACTTTCATTTTATGAAAATAAAAAAAACATTAACAATAATAAAAAAGACAAAATGGGTTTTTGTCAAAAAGTCTTCCTACACTCAATTCATAAAGTGGGAGACAAGCTTAGAGGGTGTTTGGCAATTACCAAAGGTCTCTTAGAAATAACCTCTACCTTCAAATATGGACAAGGCCTACGTACATACACCCTCCCTAACCTTACTTTGATGAGATCCAATTGGTTAGTTTTTAAAAACTAGCCATTGGAACGGCTAGTTTGGAGGGGGGAGGGGGCAGCGTTCCCACCAATTCCGGCCATCATCCCGCCCACGCCCCTACACTCCTTAGTCTTACAATGGAAGAGAAAAACTTTTAAATTAAAAACTGTCAAATTTACCAATGCATGCTCGCGTTAAAATGCTATTACAAAAACAATATAAATCATTTATGTCACACATGATGAGCATATGAAATAAGCAGAGGCAGGAAGAAAGATGAACAGTCTCTAATGTTACAAAAAACGCATCACAGTTTAAATATGGCCTAATCAAGCATGCTTTAATGCCCTTGACAGAGTTCCCCAAAAGAGTTTGGCAAACTTGTGATCACACACTTGAGGCACGCACTTCTTTGCATGCATCACAGCAGGCTTAATAGGACGCACGTCCCTGACAGCAGTTGCAAACGATAGGCCACGTATGGAACACAAGCTTGCTTCGCACTTCTGAAATATATGATGAAACAGAGGGGCTAAGTTGGGGATATGATTCATTTTTGGAGGGACCAATTTCATAATATGACATCAAAGCTCAAACTCAAAAGAACCGTGTGTGTGAAGAAGTGTGTCAAATAACTAAAAGGAGCTAAAACAAAACACAAATCTCCCCATATCAAATGCAACTTGTGTGAATTAATAATATTGATAGTAACAATAAGACAAAAGATATGAAGAAAACCCCCAACATGCCACATACCTGACGATCAAGAAGGAATGGTCGGGTCATAAGAGCGTTACGCACAAAATCTGGATATATACAACAAACGTCAGAGATCTTCTCCATTCAATAGATATAAAATGATCACGCAAAAAGTTCTCGAGTAAGCAGACATCATCACAATTATTCACAAACTACACCTTATTGGAAAACATTAATATCATGTTTTTTTTAAAACAGACTTTTTGGATTTAAGGAATCTGTACTTTCACTCTTTTGTTTCCAATAATTCTTTCTTCATATTAATACACGGGATTGAGCATACTTTCAATCCTCTAGATTTGAATGTGTTCGAAATCAGAGATCAGAGAAGCGAAAGCGAACAAAAACACACACACACACACACACAAATAGCAGAAAATAAGAGCACGAGATTTAACGTGGTTTGGTCAGTAACCTACTCCACGGGTTGCAACTAGGGTTTATCTTTTATTAGGTGATCACATATTATAGTTACATGATTGGGTATTTATAAGATATAAACTAGGGTTAACAACTTGCTAAACAAGAAATAACTAATGGACCCATTAATTAATAACTGAAACTGGCCCCCCATGTTTCTTCCATTTAGCCGATCGGGCTTAGAGCCCAAAACTCTAAAGCCTTCACCGAATAACCCAACAGAATGTACTGCTGACAAGTTAATGTGTGTTCCAATTGCTTGGGGGTGACATGAAGGCAGATTTTGATGACTTGTACATACTTTGTTATGTGATTGTCTTATTAGCAAAAAAAACCACTCACATAATTGACAAGAACTCAAACACAAAAAATAGATCACATTTCTAAACAAGAGTTGTATGTTTTCTCATATAGCATTCACATGACACAATATTGTCAAGTCATGAAATTTCATTGCCACATGATTTCGTAAGCAATTCAAACAGGATGTACATTTAGATCAAGATAGGTTGAATGTATGGCTCACTAGTATAGTTATTAAGAACTCCCTTCGTCCAAAATAAAAAATCCACTCTCACGAGACACTGAGTTTAAATCAAGTGTTTAAAAGTAAAAATTGTGTGGTTGGAATTGATTTGAAAGAGATAAATAATGATAACCAAATATTCATTACCAAAAAAGTATATGACCTATTTTATTTATGGGCAAAAGGAGTACATATTAATATATTATTGGAAAAAAATCAGTGATTGTGGAGATTGTTTTGTTCCAAAGTTCCTTGCTATAACAATAAAAATTAATCCTAGTGCATCGCATTGAAGTTTACACTTTCCTATTTTATCAAACAATAAACACTACACGTCTTTTATTTCTTTCTAAGAAAACGATTGAGAGGATCATAACTTTTTTTTCATTCTTCTAAACGAATTCCAAGAACACTCATTTCACTTTTCTAACACTTCTTTAAAAACGCCATCAAAGTGTATACACATTGCAAACGGTAGGGAATATAAAAATAAATGTCAAGATAGAGAACCAAATTAAGCAATGCCAACAAAAACAATGTAAATATGAACCCTTTTCAGAAATACAATAGCAATAAGAAAATTGAGTGTATTACCCCCATGAAGCTTTCTCTGTGGGAAAAAAAATCCATGCCAACAATACTTCTTTTTCCTGCATTTTAAAATAACAAAATTAACTATTTCAGCTTAGCTTCCAACTTTTTAATAACAAAACTAACTGCATCAGCTCAGATTTGCAATCCACATAAAAATAAAAATTCTGTCAAAATGAAAAGGAGGATACAAGTTATGCAACATCAGGGAAATAATTTTTTTCTTGGAAACTACCTAGAAATACCAATCAGCGGGCCAGTGAGTGAATTACACTGGGAAAGCCTTTGTTCAACTCTATGAATAATTGAATGTGTTGAAAAAAATTAATTAACTAAATAGCCCAATCCCTGGGCCCAGCGGGGCATAGTAGGCCTTCCAAATGGCACGGTGTCATATTATAACAGAAGCATCAAAAGAATTGTGCCCACCAACGCTTTTTTTCTCAATCTACTCCACTTTTAAGTAGATTTTTGTATAAATAATATTTGGATTCGGATCATGGAATATTTTTTTCTCCAAAACCACTATGATGTATAATCCATTCCTTAGCTAATCATCTTGCATTTCTCGAGCCCACATAGAGAAGAAACTCAAAATAATAGCCTCAACTACATACCATCAATAGTATAATGGTATATAAATTTAAATCATTTGTAACTATACAGTAATGATAAAAGATGCAGAATAAATAATGTAATCCAAGCCCGTGCATGGAATTTTACCTCCACTAACTACATGATTGGATGAATCGGTTTCGCCGTTTCGTTATTTGCACACCATTTAACACCACATCAGCGAGTGCGCATGCATACACACACAAGCACGATGCCAGTGCGTGTATATGAAACATGAGAAGTGGTGTCAAATGAGATGTTGAGATTAAAACTGATAGAATGCCACATATGCTATTATTTTATGGTAGAGTCAGTTAGGGTCATTTGTTTATGAGGCCAAATGTTTTATTTATACTCCCTCCGTTTGCCATAAATCTTTTCATTTGCCCTTTTGTTTGTCTGCAAAATGTCTTCCCACTACCTTTTCTAACATTTAAAACACAACAACTACCCCCACTTACTTTATTTATCACACCTCACCCACCTCATTTAATACACTTCACCCACATTAAGAGTATTTTAGTAAACTTCCATCTTTTTTCAACTATCCTTAAAAACCACAAAGTAAATTTGAGAAGATCTAAGGCAGACGGAGGAAGTATATGTCGGTTACTAAGTAGTAACTAATGTGTACATGGGCCTGAATCCTAGGAAGGTTGCTAAGAAATGTGGTAGTGAACCTAAAGTGTAGGAATAGTTACTGGGAAATGTAGTAGTGGGCCAGAATTTTAATGGCTCGTAGTAATTTGGCTTCTATAAATTTTGAGGCTCATTATTTGTAAAAGTTACCCAGAAAGTAATTCAATATGAGATTCTCCGTGGCTTTATTACTTATATGAGTTTAGGATTCTTGCTCATATTTTGATAAAGATTATTCTTCATCTTTATTACTATTTTATGAAGTTAGATGTTGATTTTATAATTTGATAAAAACTTTCCTTTATTTTTCTGGCCAATCCCAAGTTCTATCAAAAACATTCACTCCACTCTTTCATTTCAAGTGTCCGATTACCATTAGGGTTGAGGCTTTTACAAAGCCCTTAATCATCATCTGCCAACATACTTCTCCGCATGTTTTTGGTTGTCGCAGCATATCCCGGGTTGCATCCCGACATCACTAATATACTTGAACCATGCTCATATCCGTGTATTTTCGCTGAGTACCAACCCAAACCAAGTGGTATTAGTGCTCTGATTCGTCCATAAAAAAGTATTTAATGAAAATAAATTCCAGTTTCATTGTCTTATTCCGGGCTGATCCAATATACCTAAATCTTGGCCATATCATAAATGTTTTCATGCTATTCTTCCTAAGCGTACTCGTGAAGATTTGAGTCTTATTTGACGATAAATCCCATGTTCATGCTCACTAAGTTTGGGTAGATCTCTCGTGCTTTTTCTTGCATGTTCAGGGCACTGGATTTGATTTTGAACATTGCAGATGCTTTGGTGGATTCTTAAAAAAGGTTTGAGCTAGAAATGATTAGGACCGAAATATATTTGCTGTTGGAGTGCCTCAGGGGGGGGGGGNAGAAGTGTCTCAGGCCATGCGACCCTACTCATGCTGTGTGAGAAGGATGCAAGTGCAGAACTGGCGTTGGTTTGATTCGCTGAAAGACCTAGCTAGGAACTTTAGATCATTGTTAGCATTAGATTAGTACCTTTAAGAGGAAAGAAAATCCCAATATTATTGAACTTTTGAAGTTGCTCTGGTTTGGAGGATGTGACCTTTTGACTATTTGTACTTCTTTAGATGTTACGAGTATGATTTATCATATGTGGATTTTTACATTTTGAATTACCTATGTGCTTTAAATTTTAAATATATCTATTACAGCCCTAGCTAGGATTCAAGTTTCACACCGTAGCCTAAGTATGCTCTCTAAATATGTAGTGTAGCCATATTATCAAATCATCCAATACAATTCATGGTGTCATTGATTTTTTTTTTTGCTTGAATCAAATACTATTCCCTATCCCTCCATCCATTATTTCTTGGACGTGAGTCACATAAAAGTTATAAAATATACTTGTGTGGTTGATATCGATGTTAAAATGCAAAGGTAGGAATGAACGTGAACCGCATAAATGACAATATATGGTATGAGTCAAAAAAAGAGTGAGGGATATTAAATAGGACAAAGATAATGGGACAAAGAGAGTTTTTATGAAAAATTTAATATCAATAGCATGTTATTCACATTTAAGAGATTAAGAGAAGTTTAGCTATACATTGATGGTTAAAATTCAGGAAAAGGCTTTTTGTCAAAGGCCGATACCAAAATTATATAAAAATTGGACAGCTTGCTTTGCACAGACCCATTCACCGGTGACGATACATGCATATAAGAAGTGTACAAATGGCAGAATATGAAGAAAGGGAGATCATACATTGGATCCTCTTCTACCACATCAGGCCGGGAATGAATTCCTCCTTCCTCAAAGATGCGACCCACATGTTGAGTAACCTCCACAAAAGAGGGCTGCAGACCCCCCAAACAAAAGCAATTAGAAAAGATAGATTTTGGCAATAAACAAAAAAAGTACTGTATATATGAGCCACGTACTTTCGACTGTTCCAACTGAAGATACTCACAAAGTCTGTTACCTATTGTCTCAAATATTCGAATAAATACTAATATTTGCTCCAACTTAGCCTTCTTCTCCATGCACTTTTGTATCTCAATTGCGGTATCATCATCAGAACTTACATTTTGCTGGAGTAGAACCAGGGATGCAACCACATTCGAAATCAAAGAGAGGACAGTCTCTGTTAATGTTCTGCCCATATCATTTTTATTTTCTAGAGACAATGGTGTTATCAATACTTTTTCAGAGGCTACCATCAACAAAATAACAAATTCAACAACTTTTCCTTCCATTGCATAGATATAAGCTTCTTTTTCGATCCCTTTTGTCTTTTGGGCAAGCATTCTCACAATCTCCAATCGGTGCCTCATAATTGGAGCACAGAGTCTACAGATAAGCTTAAAGGCGTCACTGAGGCCATTTTTATCTTCCCAATCGGCAAAGATGGGTTGGTTCCTAAAACAAAAATTAGATAAAATTTGCACATAAGTTGTGATGTAAGGCATAGAAGAAAGAGAAAAGAATTTGTGCACGTGCAAATAAATTCTCTTCTCTTTAACCTAATCACTCGGAGAAACAAATTGAAACAAGATAAGACACGCAGACGTACGCAGTAACTGCAATTGCAATGTGGAGGGGAAGCAACACCCCTTCACATAAACCCATCCTAGCAAGGCATCTAGCATTGGCCTTGGATCCATCTTTGTCATGCTTAAGTAACAACATCATGACTTTGAGCGACTGATATCTTGCAGCATTATGAAGCTCATATAACCCATCAAAACAAAAAGCTTGATAGTAAGTCACTCTTTTGGCTTTTCCATCCAAAATTGCTTTTGCACATTTTTCCGCATCAAACAGATATAAACCATATCTAAGCTTAGTCAACACGGAACTAGATATGTCGCCAATCCCCCTATTGATGATATCGAGTAATTTCTTCTTGTCATCAGCCTGAAGTGCAAGTTGAACGTCATCCAACTTGAACGAGTGATCCCCTGGAGGAATATTCTTCGGTGCACTATCCTTGGTGTCTTTGGGAAACCTGAATATAGGCTTTATTTTTTCACCAAGAAAGAAAAAAACATTTTTTTTAAAAAAGTATTCTAAAAAAAAACAGCAATTATGATACGTATAAATAAATCTGAAAGCTGCTATAATTAAAGAAAAAAGGCAGTTAATTTTAGAAAATAAAGAGAAAAACCAGATTTTTCATGAAATCCTAGATTGGTTTTTATTCGGGAATTACACACAAATTACTAGGAATCAAACCAAAACGAGAAATTTAGAAGAAGAAAAAAATAAAAATTTCCAGCCTAAAGAAGAACAAGCAACTATCCCAGCGGATGGGGTTTGACACAAAAATAGGTTAGGAAAGATTAAGCATACCCTTTCCATGTTGAAAAAACACGCTGTTGCACATACAAATCGTCGCCTCCACCACCTATTCCTCCCCCGCCTGAAGAAGAAGAAGAAGAAAAACCAGCAACGTTAGCTGTGTTTTCGATTATTCCTCCTATCTCTTCTCTGAAGATGTACTCCTCATCTCTCAAAAGCCTTTAAAACATGATAACTGAGAAGTGAGGGGTTTATGATGAGATATTGGGGCCTTCACGGTAAGCTAGGCCCAATTCCACAAAACCACGCACACAAATATCAAAGACGGGCTACATGGTTGGCCCGAACCAGTAGGGCCTATCAGCAGATGGCACGAAGTGCATTTTATCCAATTCTCCGGGAGTGACTGCATCAATTATGCACGAATCACGATCGACGGGGTAAATTTTAGTAATTGTACTTAAACTTTCATTAAAATTTCGAAGTGCTTCCTCAATTTTAAATTTTTTCACAAAAGTATTTGAACTTACATAATCTTTTCACTAAAAATTCATTTACCTGTTTTCAAGTTAATTGCCGATTACCATCCAACGTGGATGATGATTGGGAATACGCATCACTTTCCTACCTCACTCTCTTTCCTCATTAACTGCTCTGGTACGTATCTGACACCAAAGATTTGAATCGTCTCTGTATGTCATCAGTGAAAAACCCAACGCACCACAAGTTGCTAAGGTCATCTTTGAAGGAGGTAGACGGTGGTTTACATTTTTAATCTGCTATCACTCTCAATCTATGCTACTTTCACTGATTCACATTCAAATTTCGATTTGAAGAAAGACGATCGAGGGTGAACCTGACGACGCCAAAATGCAAAGCTTTTTGTATGTCTTTGATTTTGAATAGGATGAATGTTTGAATCACTCGAAGTTATTTATTTTTTGTTTTTTAATTTGGTGCATATATTAAAGAGATGAGGGATTTTTATGAGAGTGAAGGGAGTTCAGGTACTGTAGAGAGCAATAAAAAGAGTAGTGAGAATGAACAGAATTCACAAAGTGGGGAGATTGGGGTTTATGCTATAATTGTGCATCATAGTGGGGTGTTAGGAAAATATTCTTACTATGATGGAAAATAATTTCTGTTAGGGGATATAAATGGCAGTAGATTGAATATGAATATGCTTGATAAGTTGCTGGCCAGAAATGGAATTACTAGGTTATGTAGGTATCACGGGAGGAAACATAAAAAGCCTTATTTTGAGGGTCTTAGTACTCTACAATTTAATAAGGATATAGCAAGAGTGTCAAGGGCTGGGAGTCTTTATGGGTCAATTCATTTATACATCGAGTACATAGGTAAAGATGAAATATTGAAGATAGTTAATGATCTTAAAAATGCTCCCAAACCTCCTCCCAAACCTAGTCTTGTTTTAGAGGAACTTAGAGATGACACATCAGTACCTTCTCACATAATGGGGGGCTAGAGGAAGTTTTGTGGAAAGTGTGCTAGCTATATGTGGGATGGAGCATGAAAGGGTCAAGGAAAAGAACTCTGAACACATTGTTGATGGACTAAATGAAAGGCTTGGAGAGATGGTTGAGGGTGTCAACTATGATGTGCCTCATTCTAGGCTAGGGATGAAGTTTTAAATGAAAGAAACTCAATCAATGTACTTGAGGGTCTGAAATGTGATGTGCCTCTTTGCATGGATGATGTTGCCAATGAAAGTAATTCAATGAATGTAACTGAGGGGCTGATTTCTGAAGTGCCATTTTCCACTTATAGGATTGTGAATGAGATTGAGAATAGTGATGCGAATGAACCACATAATGAAATCATTGAGTGTGGAGAATATATTGTTGATGGCCGGAATTGTGATGTGCCTTTTTCATTAGATGGGGGTGTAAATGAAAATTGGGACTTTGATTCATTAAATAGGTGGACAAATATAATGCAAACTTAGACGTCAATTTGGAGGATATGGCCAACATGAAGTTAAATGAGAATTGAGGCTTTGTTTTAGATAATTTGGAGAATGATGATGAGGAAGAGGATAATCATGATGGGGTGAAAAAGACACCTCTCTAGACATTGAAAAACAAACAGGGGACACTTCTCACAGAGTTTTAGTTGAAGATGAAGATGGTATTAATGTATTGAGAATGAAGACATGCATAGGATGTTGTCCAAAGATCAAGTTCCAGTTGATAATGATGATCTATACAATGATGAATACTCTGAATAGGTAGGTGATGAGGACTTCAGTGCAAACACTAAAACTCCTACGGCTTTCATAAATGAAGGAAGAAGGAGTGGCAGGCCTAGGAAGAAGCAGGATCCATGTTTCAGTGGGGAACTACAAAATTTACAATTTCAAGTTCGAAGTGATTCGTATGACTATGGGGATTCGTTTGACTATGTAGACTCAGATGAATTAGTGACAGAATCAGATGACGGAAATGGTGAGAGGGAGATAAGATACCCTTCCTTTAATGCAAAAAAGGAGATGGGAAAGGGTGAGTTTAAATTGTCCATGTTGTTTAAGGATGTAGAGCTTAGGAAAGCTGTCAGGGAGTATAAAATAAGGTCTAGGTGGCAGATAAAACTTTGAAAAAATTGCAAGGACAAGGTTCAAGTGAAGTGTGCTCAAGAGTGTATGTATTCAAATAAAAAGTGGGTGTTTTGTGCATAAATGCAAAAAGATGCACAAGAACAATCACTGCAACTCATCGTGGCTAGCTAAGAAGTATTTAGAGAATTTTAGGATGAACTCTGTATGGCAGTTGAGTCACTTAGGGCCTGTTCTTTAGGACGGGAAAAAAAGAGCTAGAAATTGGAAGAAACTGGAAAAAACTAGAAGGAACTGGAAGAAACTGGAAGGAACTAGAAAAAACTGGAAGAACTGAAAGAAACTGGAAGAAACTGGAAAAAACTAGAACGAGCTGGAAGAAACTGGAAGAAACTGAAAAAAATAAAAAGAAATTGAAAAAACTAGAATAAATTGTAAAATCTAAAAAAAATTTAAAAAAAATTTTATGCGTGGTTTTAAATTATTCTCATTTTGATTCTTGTTGATATAAATTATTATTATTACTATTATAATAATAATAATAATTATTATTATTATTATTATTGTTGTTGTTGTTGTTGGTGGTGGTGGATGTAGTAGTAGTGATGGTGTTATCACGTTATCTAAATGATTGTCTTTAAAATAAAAGAAATATTACGGATATTATTTTTCATACATAAAAAGATAGTTTAAAAAATTAATTAGAATATAAAATTAGAATAAGTATCAAATTCTCATCAAACCTGAGTGGTTGTCCACTTTTGACTTTTGGAACTGTTCATCTAAGCACTTTGACTCATCAAATTCTCTCAATATGTAAGTCTAAAAATAGTCATGTGTGATCTTGTTTGATTTGTCTTAACATATAGATTATTAATATATAATTTTTATAATTTTTTAATATACAAATTACAAGATAAAATGGATTAAAAAATGCATTGGATGGTGTGCAAAAATGAAAGTGGACAAACACTCAGGGATGGAGGGAGTATTTTTTTAGAGTGATTTGTCAGAAGATAGAAAGAATTTGAAGAAAATAAATATAGTTGGAAGAAATTAGAAGAAACTGGAAAAAACTGGAAAAAACTAGAAGAAACTGGAAGAAACTGGAAGAAACTTGAAGGAACTTGAAAAAATTGGAAGAAACTGGAAGAAACTGGAAAAAAGTGGAAGGAACTGGAAAGAACTAGAAGTTAAGAGTTCAAGTCCTAAAGAACATGCCCTTAATAGCTAAAGTAGCCAGTGAAGAAAGGGGAGGTAAAGAGGGAAGGAAAACTTCGAGCGTTTCCGAGCTCCAAGAAAAGAGAGACAAGAGATTAAGAGAATTATTGATTATTGATTGATTGCATTATAACGGGGAAGGGTTACAATATATAGAGAGTAATACGATACGCTAATTGACCTAATGGGCTCAGGCCCATACTAAATTCTAAACCCTATTTATTAAATATTAAATAATAAGTACTAATAATTAATTAAATATGCTAATCACCATACATATCATTCCCACCCCTTTCTAAACCCTATTAATTAAATAATACCCCCCCTGTCCATGTATGATCTTCCCATTACGTGTTACGAGGCTTGACCGACTTTATTTTCAATTCAATTTAATTGATTATAGGTGTAAAATTTTAAAATAAAATTTATATAGTAATAAACTACATGAAAAGTTCTACAAAACTATAGGTAACAAAACTATATTATTTTATGAAATGACTAGTAAAATTGAACAAACAAAGTGAGTAAAGTTTGAACTTGTGAATAGTGTCTTAGAAGATCTATGGTGGATAGATGGAGTATTAAATAATAAATAATAATAATTATATAATTATCCTAATCACCATACATATCACCCTATTAATTAAATAATATTAAATAATAAATACTAATAATTAATTATTAGTATTTATTATTTAATATTATTTAATTAATAGGGTTTAGAATTTAGTATGGGCCCGAGCTCATTAGGTCAATTAGCTTATCATATTAGTCTCTATATATTGTAACCCTTCCCCGTTATTATGCAATCAATCAATAATCAATAATTCTCTTAATATCTTGTCTCTCTTTTCTTGGAGCTCGGAAACGCTCAAAGCTTTCTTTCTCTATTTACCTCCCCTTTCTTGGAGCCCAAAGACGCTCGAAGTTCTTCCCTATCTGATACGATATTCGCATCAATTGGTTCTCTCAATGAGAGCACCCCAGTGATACGAGGTGTATTGATTGGGAAGACTCGGAGCGTCTTCTAGCTCGGAATGGGGGAGG